ACGCGATCCAACTGTCTCAGATAATGATGACGATCCAGCTGGGGACTTTAACGACACATTTTTCAGTGGAAATCCCCGTTGCACAACCGAAAAATCGCTATGTAGCCAACGCCTTACGGATTTGCCCACACCGACTCACATGATCTACGGTTTTGAGACAAACGCTGTCATGCACCTGAAAACGCCTTGGTTCGGCTTCTCAAACATGCCAGGCCTCACAGCCAACAAAACAGCTCGTACATCAGCCTGATACACACGTTACTTGACATTCACGGATACACAGCCTTAACGCCATAGATCTTTCAAATTGGCAAATGCAACCCGTGCATTTCAGGTTCGTGCATTTTCCCCACCTGTCACCCTACGATCAAAACTGATACAACTTCGAATGTATATAAAACGCTGCATCACATCAGCTCTCTAAGCGACCAGAAAATTACCCGTAATGTGACAAGTTTTTTATACTTCTGAGGAGTTCCTCGGCCATCTCAAAATACCACGTTCCTTACAGAATCGCATATCCCAGCCCAGTCACCTTAAAATGACGTCCGTTACGGGCCTGTCCAGGAACCGAAGTATTTCAATGCTGTACCCAGCTCGATAGCACACATTCAGCTGTGTCTTTCATTCCCTCGACTGTACCCTATCGCTAACTTTTTCCATTAGCTGCAACTACGAACAAACCCAAGCTTTATTCTGGCTGCAACCTTATTATCATGCCTGACGGTACACCACCCACTGATTGGGAATAAGCATCATTGGGATTACGTGACATTAGTGGCCACATGTGCACACTAAACGACACGGTGAATTTAGTCAGTTAATTAATAACACCTGCGCCCATTTCTCCTCTTCAAAGGTGAGTACGATGTCTGCATACTCCAGATGACAAACTTTTTGCCAGAAAATATTTGAAAGTCGGGCCCTGAAGACATTTCAGCGTTCGTCCCATCATCTCGTTGATCACGAAATCAAGCGTGAATAAAGAGCGGACGCCCTAGAAAATGAAGGAAAAAGATTTATTCAATCAGAGCTTGCCCTGGTTGTGGCATCCCGCCTATGGTCCAAAATACTCATTGTTAGATGAGCAAAAGATAAAACGAGCTCACTAAATACGTAATGTGGCACCTTAGAGGTGACTGGTTTAGCAAAGCTCCACGCTTTTCTTTAGGCTTTATCAGCTCCATTCTAAGGTCAGCTCATCAAACAAACAACCAACAAAACCAGATATCTCTGATCTCATGTCTCTGCAAGTTCCAAGCAACCTTAGTTGCGCACAATCCAGCCAGTGAACGTCCCTCATTTACACACATGCCCTTACCAGTTCGCATCGACATTATACCTATTATCTAACAATGCACGCGCCATGGCATATAGGCCTTGCTTTGAGGAAAAGCTTGTTTGGGTGAGAAGAAGAGGCGTAATTTCCTTGTTTCCCTCGGGATGGCCCTAAAAATTGGTGCTTCTAGGACAGTATAGGATCGCCTCTAGCAACATATTTCTAGCAGCGCGTGCATGAGCCCAGCAGCCTACGTGGGGCTGAGGCACTCAATCATCATCATCGTCGACGACGGCATAACATCAGTGTTCAATACTGATGCTTCACTACCGTACAACCATGACTTATTTGAAAGCCTTATTGTAAAGCAGAGTAAAGGTTGACAGGAAGGGACTTAATGCTAGCTTACCACAATCATTCCGGGGTGTCTATACCTCCAGACATTCACTCAGGCAATCTGGATAGAAACTGACAGCAAGGACGCTATTGACATCAGTTGGCAGCTATATCTTGTAGTGTCTCCAACCGGGCACAGTGAGGACCACGCGGTCCGACCCTGGAAGGCGAGTAGCACAGACAGCACCCAAGCGTTTCGTGATCTCCTTCATCCTCCTCTGCCACGTCAAGGGTTGGCGACCCCTCTCTATTCACGCCACTCTGAGTTGGGCATGGAAAACAGCACTCTTTTTGGCAAACGATGGTTCGGCACACGTAACACATGTCCCAACCAACGCAGCTTCTGGCGCTGGACACATTCTTCAATGGAAGTACCCGTTACACAACCGAAAACGCGCTTTCTGACTGCCTCGTTACGGATTCGCCGACATCAACCCACACAAGCTATGGCTCTGAGACAACGATTTTCGAACACCTGTGCCACAAGTATCACTTCAAATGTGATACTTGCTACATACTCATCGAAAATCAAAATTATTCAAGCTGAAGATTCTGGGACAGAGGCACGCCATAGACTTGACATCTCGTCGGTTTTCACTTATAAAGCATGTAGAATTGTCAATGCGTGCAAGCCATCCCCGTCAAACACGTACCAAGCACGTCTTGGAAGTAAGAGGGAGCCGTGATTCTCGGCAGTCTATGTGGACAACAGCTGGAAAGAATGATTTCTAGTCAAAACTGAGTTGCCAGGGTCCAATGCCAAAATCGTGACAAACAGGCGTAGCAGGCATTGTTCACTGAATGCCTCAACAATTGCATAAATTCTTCTGGGTTTTCAAATGATTATGTCCACACAATACATTGCGTTAGTGGCTGAACTACCAGAAACAGGAAATCGGTGAGCCGCTCCGGCATGACCGCAGACACTATCGTTGATCCGTTGGCCGCGAGGGATGCTCCGATATTTCCGTTCTTATAAACAAGTGTTGGGGCTGTCCATGGACATACCCACTGAACACGACATGTATGACATATGGCCTTTGATGTATGCATTTGGGAGAACACATACGGGTGCATGTATGCTAGTCGCTTTCATTGAAAGATTGTGTCGTAGTTAATGAACTATGTGGGGTAAAAACAGTGAACACACCAGCAAGAACTTCTGAGCGTGGGCTTTTCTGATCACTTACTTCTTTTTTGCCGTCAGTAAGCACAAATTTCATCGTCCTTTTGTCATACCGTAATATTTAGGGACAACATGGATGACCGGACTTGTCAAAAGCAAGCTACGTTAAACTACTAAGAATTGTACACCAACTGTCTGCATTAAATTTGTTAATCTGTTTGAAGCTTAAATTTTTCTGCGTTATCACTCCATAGTAAGTCTCTGCTTTGTTCAAGAGGGTCAATCAGAAACCTTAAATCCACCACATTAAGTTTTTAAATGTTTCCGCTATAGGTTTTTACTCAATCGAAATGGGAATGACGCCGCAAGATACTTGATCGCTGCACAAAGCCACCGCCAGCCATAAAAATATGAATTCCGTGCCCACAGTCAACTCCGAGTTCGTTTAACAGCTTGTAATAAAACTGCCACTGCGTGAAAGACCGCAAGGGCTCAAATAATTACCAAGAAATGCTTAAACTATATGCTAAAAATTCCTCTTTTAAAACCACGGTATCGGAGAAATTTTGGGTTTTCCTCTAGGACGTGGCGACAAATTTAGTTGGGACTCCATGAGCTATTCGATATACACATTGTGGTTCGCCCATTTGGCTGATCACCTAGAAGAATAAAAAGAAGGGTATTTGCGGAAAATATGGGCTGCCAAAATAGGCTTCAATGACGCATGCCACTATAAATCTTCTGCACACATCAGAAGAGGCTCATTGTCACAGCAGTGACCGTGATGTGGTAGCCTGTCCCGTGAACACTGATAATTGGTAAAGCCTGCAGTCGTTGGAACGTTTGTCGGTCACGTCCCAAATGTGAAGCAACTAGTAATGCGCACAAAGGGCAGGAAGGACTCTTTTCTCCACAAAAATTACTAATCCTGCCTAAATCCATGTGACTTCTATCCGATGAATAGTTGGTTGGTCGTCCTCAACGTGAATTATGCAGTGGGACATCTACCGGATGCAGCTAAACGTGACATTCAAAGGAAATAAGATTCTGGTGGAATGTAATACTCTGTACACTTTGTGCTTACGTCAAATTCTATTATACTTCATGGCGATCGTCAACGTATTTTCAAACGCAAAAATGATAACAACGTTTGCGAACCACTATCACAACGAATCCGTCCTCCATGGTCATGGGCGGGTCTGAATGAGCTGCAACGATAACTGAGCAATTGATTTTAAGGCAAAAAATTGACTTTAAACACATTTGAAAGTATTAGGAAACTGTCTGTCTGGTGAAATGTCAAAGTTTTGGATAAAAAACACCAACTGCCACGACTGTACGTAAGTTTTTCTTTGGATTGAACTACAGTTTTGGAGGCATTTGGGTGTACTTCCGAAGATCAGCGGAAGTACACAGGAAGCTTCGGATATTCGTATATTATTTTCGGGAGTCTTGTTCTTCTGCCATTTGTCCTTTTATATCTATCGTTTTAAAACTTTCCCTGTAGATCACGTTGTAGATATTGCATCCGTCTTCTTCATGGTTATCACAGTGTCTCGGTTGTAATAATAGCCATTTCACCAACAACGCGGATACGGCTGCAGCCATTATGGACCCATCTGAAGAATCGTGCGTTTAGAGCGGTTGGTTGAAACAAAAACGTTTTTTATTCACCTGTGAAACACAGCATTTGGTCGACTGCCGCTGTTTAATCCGTCATTCTTATACAAACTTATCCAACAAAACATTATAAGTCACCTGACCTTTTTATAATGCTTCGGCACTCCAGCTTCTATCTACATGGCATCCTGAGTAGGCGTCAAATTCTCTTCTGCCGCCGGTTGAGGGCACGTAACTGCTGTAAGGACGATTTTGTGCGCGAGCTTCAGTCACCTTATCATCATACCCTCCGGTGGCGAGTGACGACTGGAATGCCTTGAGCTGAACGATACTTTATAAATTAACAGAAATGCAGTGAAGAATTTCTCTGTTCTCCCGCTTCTTTCTTTCCTCGCCAAAACGCACCCAAGCGTAGCCAAGGAACAGCCCAACTGTTTGGCTGCGGATAAAAATTTAAGTAACTGCCATGGAACCGCCAAATTTGTGGGTTGCCCAGCGCAACCGTTTCTGGAAGTGCCGCTCCTAGAATTCTTTCATGCTACTGTCACTGGATTGGTTTGTGCCATTCTGGGTCTTCGTTTCGGTTATTATGCGCAAGAAAAAGACAGGGTACGTCAATGTTTGAATTCTCAGTCTAAAGAGCACGCTTGCAACCACAAGATCTCACATAAAAGGCGTTTTAAAAATCCAAACTTGGTTTTGAAATCAGCTACCAAATCGTCGGTAGATAGTCATCCTAAGCATTAACTTCCTGAAGTGAGGAAAATTGTTTTCTAACAAAAAGTGAGTGCCTCAAACCTAAGGAGCTCCGAAAACCTCTACTCTTCATTAGTGGCGTTAACGTTAAGGTGTTATCTGTCAAACATTGCTTACTTATTGCATTGATAATTATTGGGTACCCACATAGACGACGGTAGCCCCAGAAAAAAGGCCGGGTATATTTGGACGCGTATCTTAACAGATAAAGGTTCACAAACCTTCCCATGTAGCCCTAAAAGGAGAGCATGAATTATTATAGCCCGAATTTCACGTACCGAAATCGGCGATACGTTAAATGTGTATTAACAGTCCAACGGCGTTTATATGTGAAGAAGCGGCATCAGGCAGCGGCCGCATAAGTCACTAGAGCCCGAAAAAGCTCGTCCAATAGACCCAAACAGACGTGTCTCCCTGAGAAAATTCCAAACTCAGATAGCTTCATGATTGTCAGCGCATTTCCGGACGATGCCAACAGTGAGTTAAAGGAAAATAGGCGGGCCGTTGTAGCACTGAGAATATGTTGGTCGAAGTTACCCTCAAATATGTCTATTAGAGTGGGCAGACAGTTATTCTAAGGCACGTCTTGCGCCTAGATCCTTTGTGCGTTCTTGAAGACCGATGGTTGTGCCCAAGTGTTTATACGTGGCACCCAATACAATCAAGGTAGCGTGCATCTATTATATTGGGTGGTTGCTGTAACGTTGATTGTCGTGCGCGCCCAGGCTTTTGTTTGTGTGATCTCCTGGAACCAAGCAGACTTGATTTTGGAGGCTGCAACCGCGTCATGTGTATTGCTCGTCGTGGCTTAGCCCGGATGGAAAGTTGCTCGGACATTTTGGATGTGAAAAAGGAGTCAGGAATGGCCTGGTTTACTCTTGCTTATACTTGTGTAAATAGTGCCGTAAAACATTGAACCCAATTCTTCTCCTTGATATTCGGGATTGTCGAACCTGCGTGACACTCGATGATCCGTATCGGGGACCTCAACAAGCCTAAGCCCAGTCGTTCATGCATTAATCAAGAATAGTGGAAAATAAATCAGCCGGTGGGCCCCGGTTTCAAAACGCGAATTGGACGGTCGCGACTTAAATTTATCTTACAAACCTATTCAGCGTCGAAAAATCCTTTGATGAAAACACTTTTTGAGTGGCTTATAAGGAATTTTGTTTTTACCATGGGTTGCTTCAGAAGGTGAGTAACACCAATAATTAGCGAGTTAGGTAGTGACCAGCAGAGACACTGTGTTGCAAGCGGGTTACACACAAAAAAGGGAATTATCAAGTTCTGCGTTTGATAAATTATAGTGGACGACGCTGAGGCTTGTTGTACGTAGTTGTACTGAAGGGGTGACTTGGCCGAGCGTGTTGAAATTTTGGTTGAGCGTGTTGTGGTCTTGATTGAGCGTGTTAAATTCTGGTCCCCTGCTTTTCGTTGAATCCAAACGATATTGGGCCCAGACCTTTCCTGCACAATGAATCCTGCGTAGGTCCGATGTGAATCAGGTCAAGGTGCTGTGTGAAGAAACGACCGTCGTCGTCCGAACGGCGTCTGAGCATCAGCTCAGCATAGGCCGAAAGGTGATGAACGCCATTCGTTGTATTGAGTTTGTCGACTACTTTCGTTGTGCTGACTGAGTTTTATGTTGTGTGTTGTGCCGACTGTGTTGTGTCGGTTGCCATGTTCTGTTCTTATATATGTTGAGTTGTTGTGCTCTTAACGAGTTTACAGAACCCGTTGTTGATCAAAGTTCGTATTCACGTCATGGTGTTGTTTCGTGGTACAGGTTGTGACATGTGGAACAAAAACATGGTGCAAGGGAGACAGTGGACATTTGTGCGCATGTCAGCTTGAGCGACCGTTACATGTTAATCCTGTTTAAACGAATCGTATGTTCGAATTTGGCTTGTACGTGCATCAACTTTCCATACAGCACGAGATCAAATTTAGGATTTATTGAAAGGTTTTTTAATATTTCTTAAATAAAAGGTAACACCTGTTGAATATCTGCAAATTCCATGCAGGTTGATGCTGAAAAACTTTTGTATGCGTTATATTCATCACGCAAAACAAACCAGATAAGTTTGTTCAGCGAACTTTGGCACAGTATCTTTTCACGGTAAGCTCACCTTGTGTTCAGTATAATAAAACAGGACGCCTCCGTGCATTGTGCAGTAGTTGAGTGCGTGTGCACTCCTGTAGATGATCCACATGTTTAAGTATGCGCAACTTGACATTAGAAATCATATATCTGAGTTTGAATTCCCAAGGTATCCACATATTACCTATGGGGAATAATGACTCTTCTTAGCCGGAATAGGCCAGCAAGCGCAACGACACTGTTATAAAATAAGGCGAGTCTTTGCTCTTTGTGACAAGGAACTTACGCCTTGTCGTTTCTTTAGCTGCTTACGATAACTGCTTGTCCTATATCTACCCGCGACGCTGGTTATGAGGACTCATCTATGCACTACAGCCCAATCCAGAGGCCAACTACGGTCCTGCATACTCGTACAACTTGTCTGTTCGTTCCGTCCCAGAAAAATACACAAACGTCTTTAGCACATTTGCTTGATTTTTGGTTGTTTTGATGCGAACGCAATGGAGAGCCACTGAAGTCCTCATTTCCCGGAAGCCATTTTCACTGGACAGGGACCCTGAAAGTAGAAATGTACAATGAATTACACATCTTGGGTAAATTTGTTCAGAAGCCTGCACGTTATGCGCAGAAACTTACTGCTTGCCCACTGGGTGCCACTGTCGATCATGAAAAGTTCGTGTGTGCACTGATGTTGGGATATCAAGATTAAGTGAGAATATACATTATAGGACGCAGCGACGTCAAAGATAAAGACAAGTCCATAAAAGGTGGTCGTAAGCTCAAGTGGGATAGACTCGATCCGTAGAATTCAGGGATCACATGCGTCTTCAAACGTGTGCCCACGAATGTGGCCGTGGCTAAGAACTAAGGAGTGGGCGTGTACTTGGTATAAAATCTGCTCGTCTAGAAAACTAGATCCTGGCTTCACTACACTTCTGCTTACCGTCATTTGTACGCTCAGCTTAATAGAAACGGGGGCAATGACGTACCCATACTCAATCGCAGCAGCGCTCGAACTAACTATGGCGACCGTCCTTGGATGCTGCTTACTAGCTCCAGCGCTTGCGTTAGTGAACCCGCAATTTTTTTATCTCCAACATTCGTTTATACCTAAACTGGTGCTTCATATCAGACACTTCATTCGTTGTAAGCTGCTCATTCCTTGAGACCACAATGAGGTTCAACTCTAGGTCTGCCATGTGGATTTTGACCTCCTCTAACACATCGTCTATAATAACCAAACGTCACTCACATATACACCCACCACCATGTTGTAACTCTCCAATATGTAAACTGATGAGACAGCCACTCCTATTGCGATCTGCCTCTAATGATGAAAAAGATTATCTAACAGGGAGCTGTGAAGTTTATTTTCTTAAGCTGATACGGGAACGAGTATCAGTCAACCCATACACACTGCCACGATGCCAGTAGTCCAGTTTCTGTCCTCTAGACTGATAATGGACAATGATTTCCCATTACCAATTTTCCAAATGCGCCTTGCTCGTCCATCCAGATTTGTCCAACCTGTTCTGACTCTTAGTCCGCGACGTACCTCTATGCATCCAACAAATCTTTCTGTGGCATGTCCTCCCGTCCTGCGTTCCCGCACCGAAACATTTCTAAAGACTGCACGGTTGACAGCTCTCTTTCCAGCTGCAAGCCATCATCTCACAGACCAACTAAAAGTTACGCGAAGCCCGATATTCCACCTTCCGCTGTGGATTGCGACCATCTCTACCTTTCATTACTCCATTAAGTGTTAGATGCACCTCGATCGACCCTGAACACATATCCAATTAATTATACTTCATGTACTACCACTCATTTTCCCAAATTTCTAGTGCCGAACCACACCTCGTGGGGATTTAACAACTCGCTTATCAGAAAATTGAGCCCACCATACAAACTATCAATAATCGCGACAGTAGTTACAGAAGATATAAAAGAAAAAAGTTTTTGATGAGAGCCTGTATCACTGGCTTAAGCTTGCCCGGGTTGCATCACACATACAAGGGAATCATTCTAAAAATCCAAAACATCGATCACAGACAAATGCGTATCCCCTGTCCAACCTGGTTCTGATTTATCGCTACTGCTTTGCATATCCCAACGATCCTGACAACCCCGGCCAAGTCAATCCTGATGTTCGTGTACAGGGATATTGACGGACCCAAATACGTCACGATGACAAAACCGAGATTGCCATATCCAGTCTGACGACTCATCCGCCAGGCTAGTCACGTTGCGTGCGTTTCACATGCGCCAAAGGCCCTACTCACTGCGTTTGTTTTGTGCCCCAGCTCCGAAGTGCTGGCCAGTCTATCATAATGTCCGTTTGCATTTCTTATAAAACAGCCAACTCCTCCCGCCACACAATTAAGGAGTCGGAATATCGGTGCATATAGAACCTTACCGTGAACTTATTACAGCATGTGATGCCCGTCATAACAAAAATTCATCGACCTTACTAGCTGCGACAAAATTCTTGGCCTTTTACGCAGGAAGATTGCAAACTTTTCCATACATTTTGGGTTTGCGCGGAGAAATACGAAATAACCATGGTTCATGTGCTCTGTAAAGGCATTTTTAAATCCGTACAGGACGAAGAACATGAAGGAACCAACTTTTCCAAAAATTTTCCTACCATCCTAACCAACCATTGTGTTCAGCCATGTAGGTCCTTAAACATAAGAATTCCGCTCAAATAAAAGTAGAAATAGGCTTAAACAGAGTTCTACAAAATGGGACT